TCCTACTACTACTGCTACGACTACGACGACGACGACTACTACTGCTGCTGCTACTGCTAATGCTACTCCTACTCCTACTCCTACTCCTACTCCTACTCCTACTCCTACTCCTACTACTGCTACTACTGCTGCTACTGCTACTGATAATGCTCCTGCTCCTGCTCCTGCTCCTGCTCCTGCTCCTGCTGCTGCTGCTGCTGCTGCTGCTGCTGCTACTGCTACTGCTACCGCTACTGCTACTGCTACTACGACGACGACGACGGCGGCGACGACGACGACGACGGCACTACCAATAAAAGGTTACCCTTACCGCTGCGACCTATCACTACCACTGCTTCCCCCCGTGCCACTGCTGCCGAAGCCTCAAAAGCGTGAGCCGCAGGCTGCATTGGCAGAAGGCGAACCGGAAAGGCCGGAAGATGATGCCCTCGAGTCCCGGATGAGCAAGACAAGATCCCGGGCGAGGACATCAAAGCCCAAGGCCAAGCCCAAAGCAAAGGCGGGCCCGGCCAAGGCCAAGGCTAAGGCTAAGGCCAAAGCCAAGGCCAAAGCCAAGGCTAAGGCCAAGGCCAAGGCCGAAGCCAAAGTGAAAGCTAAGGCTAAAGCCAAAGTTCGAGGGAGGCCGAAGGCCAAAGCCGAGAGCAAGGAGGGCATGGATGGTTTGGGCTGGAACAGCTCCGAGGACGGTTCCCCCAATTTAGCTGATGCTCAAAAGGTGCTGGGAGATCAGTCGCAGATCCGGAAGGATGAGGCAGGCTGGATCGCGGCCCAACTGGGCTTGGAGAAGGGGCACGTGGCAGGGGCGGTTCGCCTCTTCCAGGAGGGAAGCACGCTGCCCTTCATCGCACGATACCGGAAAGAGCAGACAGGTTCCATGAACGAAGAGAACCTGCGGCGCGTCGAGCGCGAGCTGAACCGCGTGAGGGACCTCGAGACGAAACGGGCCAGGGTTGCCCTGGCCCTGCAACGGGGGAAGCACCTCACCCCAGATCTCGGTGAGAGCTTGCTGCAGGCGGAAAGCCTGGAGGACATCGATGCTTTGTGGGCGCCCTTCAAAGCCAAGAGGCAGACGCGGGCCCAGGTGGCAAAGTCTTTGGGCTTGGAGCCCTTGGCCAGCCTCTTGGAGGAGGCGGCCAAGCAGCTCGCACCCCGCAACATTGAGGCCGGATCTGAGGTTTAGAAGCCTTGAAAACTTGTAGAACGAAACCCTGATACATGGCTCTGTACCCTGAAACCGTGGGCTTTCAACAAACCCCAAATCCTGAAACCCCACTCGTCGTAGTGTTCTCAGCCAGGTGGCCTTACCATTGGAGGCAGAGGCCGTGACGCTCCAAGAAGCCGGGCCCGAGAAGTCCGAGGAGGCAGAGAAGCCGAGGGAGGCGCCAGCCGATAGGCTTGAGTCAAAGGGATTGACGGCGTAAACTTTAAACCCTCAACCCAAGTTGTGAGAGCGCAAACCCCAAACCCTTAGAATCTTAGAAGCCCCAAAAAGCCAATAAAATCCTGGAAGCCCAAACGCACCAAAACCGAGCAGCTCCAAAGCCGATGAGCCTGCTTGTAACTGCTTGTAGCCACACAGCCGACCAAGAATGGTAGGTTGCCATACCCTGGTAATTAGGGCTAGGGTATTGAGGCTTTCTGGATCCAGTGTGAAGATGTTACAGGGTGTAGGCTAACACCGCAAACGATATGTCATTGGAGCCGCAGGTGGAGTTCCTGAAACCGCAGGCGCCCTTGCCGGAGAAGACGCTAGAGGAGGCGGCAGCGCAGTTCATCACGGCCGAGGTCCCCAACGTGGAGGCCGTCTTGAAGGCGGCCAGGGGATCTTGGAATTCAGAGTTTAGGGAAGAGGGGTTGATGCTATATCCCCGAGCCTCCTCCATCAGGATAGAGTCTAGCAGTGTTTCGACAAGCTTTATATACCTATCCGAAACCTTACAGGCTAAAAATTGAGAATGCAAGCCTGTTGACTCGTTAAGATGAGTCGCCGGAGCACGAGCTGACCGGAGCGAGTTCGAGTTTTGTCACAAGTGTGACTGATCTCGTATCCTCACTAGACATTACACCAAAGCGGCCCATCCCTGTCAACATTGCAGCACACCTTTTTGTAAGACCGGAAAAACCCTTCAGCCGCAGAAGCCCAAATTCTGAACCTCATGTTTCACGGTGACTCCCCGCTGCATCATGCCGAAGAGGCGGCCCGGGACATCTTAGCCGAGCAGTTCGCACACCGTGGAGATGTGCGGCAGCTAGCCCGCAGCGTGCTCGAGAACAAGGTGGCCTGCAAGAGTTTAGTGTTTAGGGTTTAAGGTTTAGGGTTTAGGGTTTGAGGGTTTGAGGGTTTAGGATTTAGGTGTGCTCATTGTGCTCTGAGCTGGAGAGATGTGGGCAGGGTTCTAGGATTTAGGATTTGCTGGCTGTTGAGTTCAGGGTTTCGGGGTGCGCTTTTGGCTTTGCCTTTTGGGGCTGCGCAGCGTCGGGCCAAAACTTGTGGGTTTTCGGGTTTCAAAGATAGAGCAGCTCTTGACTGACAATAGGGTTTAGTTTAGGGCCGTTGAAGGGTTTAGGGTTTCGAGCAGAGACTCAGTTCAAAAAGGGTTTGTAGGAGTTAGGGGTATTTTCAGGGTTCGTGGCGGCTTTTGAGATACCCGAAAAGAGTTAAGACTTCAATTCGGAACCCTGGAACCACGTATCCCGAACCAAAACCTGGCAATACCTCGTGCAGACCGCCCTGGAAGCGAAGGAAATCAAGTCGCAAACCCCTTTAAGGCGTTCCTGCCCAATCTTCCAGCTCTTCAGATGCTCAATCCTACGCCCCAAACCCTAAATGACACCAAACCCTAAATCCTATTGAGTTGTTCTGCGAGAGCGTGAATCCTAAATTGTGCGAGTGCGTGAGTCGACATCCTAAACCTGGCGTCTCGAACCCAAACCGAATCCCAAATTGTCAAGGGTTCCCGCCAAACCCGTCAGGTGCGGCTTGCATCTCGCCGGCGCGGTGACGCCGACCCGGAGGGTCAGTTCAAGACATACTGGGAGTTCAGCTCCCCGCTGCGGCAGGTGGGGTTCGGGGCTTCAGGGACTTCAGGGCTTTATAGGGACTTTATAGTGTTGAGGGTGTTTAGGTTTGAGGGGTGCCAGTAAGGATGCCATATGCGTGCTAGACTTATACTAGACTTGTTTTAGGGCGTTTAGGGGTAGAGTCGCAGCAGGCCAGTTGCAAAAGGGGTGAAAAAAAGGGCTTGGGGACTAGGGCTGGACATTGGGTGGAGGAGGAGAGAACTCGACCCAGCTGTTTCAACGGATCTAGACATGCGAGCAGAGCACGTATACGGTATACTCGCTCAAGTGCTTAAGTGGGATAGATTGAAGAAAGGCTCGACCACACACAGGCTGGATGCTTTGCCAGGTGAAGCCGCATCAGTTCCTGGCGGTGCAGCGCGGAGAGTGACCTGGTCGCTTAAAGTCTGTCGGCTTGGCTTGGAGTTTTCGGTATTGCAAGTCGCCAAAGTTTTGTGAGAAGCCGAGGCAGAAGAAGTGCCTCAGCTTGAGCTTCGCCATCACGGCTGAAGACTCAACTTATTTGCTCGATGCCTTGATGGCCACCTTCCTGGGCGATCGGCCGCGACAGGGCATCGAAGCAACCCCGACGCCCATGAGAGCAGCAGGGGGCAAGTCAAACCTCGGGGGCCGTGCCTGGGGACCAAACGAGCCTGAAGGTTTACACTTTATGTGTCCTACCTTCACTTAGGGCCCATTAGAGGTATATCGGGTATCAGGCGATATTATGCTTTCTTAAGCAACACTTGGGTCCTCAAGGTGCTGCATATCGGGCAGAGATTCGCTTGGCGCTGGAGGATGCCTACAAGCGCCTGCTCCTTCCCTTCCTGGAGCGCGAGTGGCGCCGGCGCTTGAAGCAGCAAGCAGAGGACGAGGCTTTCGACACCTATCGCCGGAACCTGAAAAAGAAGCTCCTGCTGGCCCCTTTGAGGCTTCATCCCGATTGGGGGTATACCGAAGATTGCGGCTCCCCCGTGTCTGCCGTTTTGGGCGTGGATCCCGCATTTCGCACCGGCTGCAAATGTGCTCTCATCTCGTTGACAGGCCAAGTCCTAGCCACCAAGATCCTCGGCCGGCAAGAAAGTATGTACCTGTAGTCTCCATTGTAGTTCTTTTTTTGGTTTAACCAGTTCTATATTCAAGGATCCTAAAAGGCAACCCCCACAAAGGCAGTACAATGGAGACTATGGGGAAGTTTTAAAAATGTTAAAGGCCGCCCATGAATTTATTTCAAGCAGGGGCTCAGAAGCAAGGACTGTGTTTCCGCACCCGAACTATGCTGGAGCATCGGTGCCCCTGCCACAGGACCATCCCCCCAGCCCTAAACCCTTAATCCCTAAGCCCTGAACCCTACACCCTAAATTCTTAGCCCCTATAAACCCCAAACCCCTCAAAGCCATTTAATTTAAAGCCCTTCCTAGCTAGGTGGGAGGCAAAAAAACAGCCCAAGCCACAGGCCGAGACCGCCAGCCGCAACCTCAAAGATCTGCTTCAGCAGGGCCTCGGCTTCAGCGAAGCGCCGGATCTCGATGCCCTGGCGGACCGAAGAGTCCCGATCTAACGCGACGAGCGTTTCGTATATCCAAACGTATACATACATGCATACATACATACATACATACATACATATATACCTACATGCATGTGTTTATATACATACACACATATGCACGTGCATATATCTACATCTGCATCGGCATCTCTAGCTCTGTCTCGACTCCATCTCTCTCTCTCTACATTTACATCTGCATCTATGTCTATCTCTACGCATATCACAGATGTTCAAAGCCCTACTCTACCACTTCTCGAGGCCCCTGGATGAACGCATTGAGCCCCTGAGAGGACCTGGATCCTCCGAGCTCTGAGAGACCACGGAAGAGGTGCCGCAGATAATATAGGGCCTAAACTTCGGTTTAGGGTTTAGGGTTCAGGGTTTAGGGGTTTGAGGGATTTGGCCGGGCGAGCTCAGTTCAAGCCTGCGGAAAGGGGTTTGGGTTTAGGGTTTAGGGTTGCTCCGGCCGGCATACAGCTCGAGTCCGTGCTCAAAAAAAGGGTTTAGGGCTTTTAGGTTCCAGGGTCCTTGTCTAAGACTGATCAATATTAAACGTTCTCACGACTTACTAATTTCTGCCACAAACTGACAAGCATACAAAAATCACGATCGAATAGCTGCTAGAAATTGAGCAGACATGTGACCTACGAATCAGTGTTAGGCCATGCGTTCAGGCAAGGTCCCAACCAAGACAACCCTCGTTCTTGCACTTTGCTGGCAATGCCAATCCTTCCAGTAGCTTCGTATTCCAGACACTTTGCGGCGCCTGATCGCCTTATTGATCAGGCCGAAATCTGAATTCTTGGCTTGAAAACTTGGATTGGGGCTTGAGTGGGTTTACGGACTTCAGGAAACATTGAATTCAGGTAGAGAAAATCATGTGAGATTCTCGCGGCAAGTGCACCAGCAATCCCTTTGGAACGGCACTGCTCTTATATGTACAAGCGATCGAGGTGCCACACTCCATGTTGCCACGTCTGTGGCTGTTTGCAATACCATCTTAAGTCAGATTATCCACATCGCCAAGGTTGCTTGCCAGCCGGTGCTCGCACTGCAATACAGTTCCAGTGCTAGATACGCCGGTTCAGTGTGGGGCCACTCAACTCAAGCCTTCCAGACGTATCCTTGAAACCTATACCTTAAACCTTCAAGACCTGACCTAGTTCGAATAGCCCCGAGACCTACATGATCCCCGAAATTAAGAAAAGGCCTAGTCCTGTACTACCCTGTAATACAGACAGAAGCCTGAATAGTAACCATGTTTATTCCTCAGGGTTCCTTGCCAAAGTAAAATCAGAATGCTAGAATATGCAGCTCTAAAGCCTTTTCTACTTTTACTACGGCCCCCCTGTTCGCCGTCCTGAACCCTAAAACCCGAAAACTCTCAGACCCTAAAGCCCGAAAGGTTTAGGGTCTAGGGTTTAAAGCCCTACAGCCCTAAACCCTTCGCCTTTTGTCCGCTTCTTCCCTTGTCGAGGCCGATCTCCGAGGCTTGAAGTCAACCCTTGGGCTTTTCTCCATGGCCGGGCGGCGTAGTGTGGGCTCTAGGGTTTAGGGTTCAGGGTTTAGGGTCTAGGGGTTTAGGGTTTAAGGGTTTTAGGGGGTTAGGGGTTTAGGCGTAGGGGTTTAGGGTTTTTAGGGTTCACAGGGTGCAGGACGCAACTGTGTAGGCTTGTTGTTACCGTTTGTTTTTGGACGCGTTCTTACCTATGCCCTAAGCCCTAAATCCCTAAACCCTTACCCAAACCGTCAGGCCCATATGCTTAGTCGGTTAGCTCCTCATCGAAGTGCTCGAGCCCTCTGTGGTGGTAGCCGTAAACCCTAAACCCTAAAACCCTACAAGCCCTATAAGCCCTATAAGCCCTAACCCCTAAACACTAAACCCACCATGGTCCTTTCTGGTGTTAGGCTTTTGGTTGAAAGCCCATGGTCTTCCACTTTGATGTCAGGTTCAAGGATACAGTATCCCTACCTTAAACTACCAAAACCTACTTTTTTGTAGGGTCCCTATAAATTCTGTATTGGGGTTTGTAATAAGAAAAAAGCAGGTTATGGTAGCTTAAGGTAAGGGTCCAAAGTGCTCAATGCCGATATTAAGGTACGTTGGCTACGGACAGTAGGTATCTAGCGGTTCATATGTGGGAGAGTATATGATCATGAGGTACTAGGACCCTAACCGCGAATTAGCTGGTGTGAAGGATTCGGACATTCTCGTTGACACTACATCGGATTTACGTCGGACTGCTTGATTTAGATCACGGGGTCATGTGGTATGCCAACAGCCCCATACTGTACAGGTTCCATGGTATCCAGTTGCTGTTGACACATTCGCTTTGTTGGCACATGTCTGATATGCATACCATGAACACCTCAAGCCCTTGCCTACATACATAAATTGCGGGTGCACTTGCATGGACAAGCACGTTATCTAACATCTTCCATACTCTAGTATACACCCTTAACCAAGAGTTATACCCTAAACTATAAAGAGTGTAATGATTCGATGCCCTGGTCTCTTGCTTGTGCGCTTCCGGCATGTGCCGGACCGGTGAAGGATCGAGTGAAGAGTCCGGAGCGGCTTTTGCTGGACGAGAACTGGCTGGTCTGCAAGCTGACAAAAGGATGCCGGCAAAAAATAGGGTTTAGGGTTTAGGATGCCGGCAAAAGATAAAATGGCTGCAGGTGTCTTTCATGGCCTTCGATCGCTAATGTCGTGCCACAATGCTGTTGCAGGAGGAGAATCCTCTGTGGCAACGCCCCTCGACTGATGCTGTCCTGCTATCTCCGCGCCGGCAGCCTGTCTGGAAGAATGTTCACCTCACGACATTGCCGCTGCGTTGCTGCCCGACATGTCGTGCGTGAGACTCTAAAACCTGACTTACGCCCTAAATTCTGAAGTATACCCCGAACCTAAATCCTGAAGTACCCCCCCCAAAGCCCCTCAAGCCCTGCAACCCTCAACCCCGGCACTGATAGTCTTGGCTTCTAGGTGCAGGGGGGCCCCCAGGGGTTTCGATACCCCTTAATTTAGGAATATACCTTAAATCATAATACTAAGACCCACTATGATTTAAGGTATATTCCTTAATTCAGGGGTATTGGGCTCTCTGCGCGCAGATCCCAGAGGTCGCAAAGTCCGGCGCCGTGCGGCATCCGAGCTGCAGTTCACGGAAGCCACGGCTCCTCGGGACGTGTTTAGGGGTTTAGGGTTTAGGGGTGTCAGGGTTTAGGGATTTAGGGTTCAGGGGTTTAGGGGTTTAGGGTTTAAGGGTTTAGGAGTTTAGGGGTTTAGGGTTCAGGGGTTTAGGGGTTTAGGAGTTTTAAGGGTTTTGGGTTTTGGGTTCAAGAGTTTATGTTTTTTGTTTTTAGCATTTGCCTTGGAGTTTCGGATTTTGCGGGCTTTGGGTTTCGGAGTTGGAGTTTGGGGAGGCTTTGGGCGTGTAGACTTCTGAGATGTTGGGATGACCCAAGGCCCTACGGCTCAAGATAACCCAAAAGCCTAATATATATATATTATATATATATATATGTATAGAGAGAGAGAGAGAGAGAGTAAGTATGGTCTTTGGGCCCGAAAGCCTTTAAAAAACATGAGTCCTTGGAGCCCTGTAGGGATGATGTTCCCACCTGGGATTCTGGGCTCCATGAACTGGGGATCTGCGGGCTCTCTGCGGCCCCAGAAAAAGGGCCAGGCTCGGGCCTTTTCTTAGGTTTTAGGGGTTTAGGGTTTAGGGCTTAGGGTTTCAGAGTTTAGGGTTTAAGGGTTTTAGGGTTTAGGGTTTCTGTGTGGGGTTTAGGGTTTAGGGTTGGGCACCAGGTCGGTGCTTTGAGTCGATTGCAGCAAACTCCCAACATGCTCAAGGAGTTCAGGTTTAGGAGCTTAGGGGTTTAGGATTTAGGAGTTCGGGTTTAGGAGTTTAGGGGTTTAGGGTTTAGGGTTTAGGAGTTGGGGTTTAGGAGTTTAGGGGTTTAGGATTTAGGAGTTCGGGTTTAGGAGTTTAGGGGTTTAGGGTTTAGGGTTTAGGAGTTGGGGTTTAGGCGTTTAGGGGTTTAGGATTTAGGAGTTCGGGTTTAGGAGTTTAGGGGTTTAGGGTTTAGGGTTTAGGAGTTGGGGTTTAGGAGTTTAGGGTTCAATTCCTCATCCTGCCTGATTCGTTCCGCACACAAGATTTGATTCTCTAGGCCCCGAAACCGAAAAGCTTGTCGGAAGGCGGAAGAAACAGGCGGACATGCGTACATACGGTTGATGATATAAATCCTGCATTACCCATAGTAAGGAATATACCATAATTCCCATAGCTTAGGGTCCTTAAGGTAATGCGGAATTTATGTCATCAACAGTATCTCCCAAACCCAAGACTAAGCATCCAAATCCCTCCAAATCTTGCTGGCACTGGAGAAATTGACAACTTCTCCATGATATGGTCCTGTAGAGGTGCCTATGCATTCCTAGTTGCTGGGGTCCTGTGAAGAGAAACCCAAGGAATATTAAGCCCTAAAGCCCCCCCACCCTGAATCAACCCTAAACCGTAAACCCTAAACCCTAAGACCTCACACCCTAAGACCCTAAAGCCCTATAACGCCTATAAACCCTATAACCCCTAAACCCCTGAATCAACCCTCTGCCCCGAACCCGACGTAAAACCCATAAGCCCTGGAGAGGTCGGCAGTGGATCCGTGGGCTCCCACGGCGTGAAAGCCCAGCGTGGGTCGCTTGCTTTTAGTAGCTGAGTAGGTAACCTTTAACCTTCTTAGTCTTGGGCCTATATACTCCTACCATAATTGACAGGTTAACCGTTTTTGGGCTAGCGTACTCAGCCCCTAGGTTTTTGTTATTCCTCTGAAATGCGCAGCTGACGGGAAACGACATATACAGTACCTCCCCACGCACATTCCTCCCTGCCCCATGTATGTACTATACAGACATACATACTACTGCAATGCAGATCTAAACCATGCTTGCTCGAGGCCTATTTATAATGCCTACAGACTGAAAGACCTCCACACGGAACCCCACCATGTCAGGTCGCGCCGTGCGAAATTTGCTGGAGTACCGAAAACGCCGCTGGTCTTCGGGGCTTAGAGGCATATTAAATTCTGTTGGGTTTGGGATTTAGGGTTTAGGGTTTAGTTGGGTTCTTTGGAGGTGCTATAGGGGGCCTCTTGGGGTTTGGAGGCTACAGGATTGGTGCTTCGGCGATGCTGAGCTCAAGCTTTCACAGCCCTGGCCTTAAACCAGGTGGAGTTAGAGGAGTTCTTGGTAAAAAAAGCCTGATCCCTCGACCCCTCAAACCTAAGAAATGGCCCTAAAACCCGTAAACCGCGTGCCAGCCAGCCCTCT